ATACATGTTATATGAGCCGTGCCATAACAAAACCAACTTAACGGGTTTGCGACCATCATGGATCCAGACCAGCCTGCGCATCCGCGCAGTCTGGTCAGGATCCATACTGTTCGCTATCAGTTTCTCTACTTGTTATTGGATTTGTAAGCGAACAGCATGGATCCTGATCAGACTGCGCGGATGCGCAGGCTGGTCTGGATCTATGATGGTCGCAAACCCATTATGTTGGTTTTGTCGTGACGCGGCTCAAATATCAAACAATATACTAATTAGAGATGTATGATATTTCATTCCCACTTTACTCTCTAGTTATACCAACTTCTGTCCGTTATGTGCGTGAAGTATGTTTATATATTATATTTTCGGGAAATGAAAATGTGTTTACCAGGAAGTAAACTGAAAAGCTAGTCAACACGTTTTGTTGATGAAAAATTACCCCACCCCCACCATAGATAAAAATAGATTAAATTGAATTAAGATAAATAAATAAGTTAATAAATAACAATGAAAACTAATGAAAATAAATATTATACAAAATGAATGAATGAATGAATGAATGAATGAATGAATGAATGAATGAACGAACGAACGAACGAACGAACGAACGAACGAATGAATTAATGAATAAAATAAACAATGAAGAGATAGACAAATTAAAGCGAAAGAAGGATACACTGGCGGAATTACGAAAACCCCCAAATATAGTATCACCAGTTTTAGAAATTATGACTATGATACGTATTTCCTTTGAAATGTCCTCTATGTAAAATATAAACATGTAAGTTTCAAGGACTAAAATGTAGTATTTGAGTACACAGGGAAATTGCACGTACCAATAACAACTATAGTCATAAAAACTCATTCGTCGAAATAAATAACACCTCCTACACACTGTTTCACTTTCAATTTCTACTTGATTTTGTAATGACTCGGACATATCACATCATCATTACCACACAATCGGAACTTCTCGGTTATTATCAATAATGAAAGGGCCAAAAAGATGCGATTGCATTACCATATTGAGAACTCAACTACAGTAAAAGTGTTTAATATTACAAGCATTTGAAAACGGAAGATCATAATATTTTTTCTGATTTAACCAGCTCAGAATAATTTTCATCCAACCACACCAAAATATTTGTCATTCATCAAAGTGGGCGAAAATGTTGTTATAACTTTTGGCCCAACCCCTTTTCTTATTTGCATTAATGTATTTATGTGAAATTGTGTATTATTGTGAAATTATATACAATGAAATATGTTTATACTAAAATCCATCAAAGTCACAATATTTCCAATTCAACCAAATAACAATATTCAAATAAACCAGAATATTTCTCATTCGAACAAACCAGGATATTTCTCATTCGACCAAAGCAGAACATTTTTATTCATCAGTCAAAATATTTCTTATTCGACCAAATCACAATATATTTAAACAAACCAGAATATTCCTCTTTCAGCCAAATAGAATAATTCTCATATTTCTCATTCAGCCAAATAGAATAGTTCTCATATTTCTCATTCAACTATATTAGAATATTTTTCTTTCATACAAATCAGAATGATTTCTATGAGCCTACACAATTAGAACATTTCTCATTCATCCAGCCAAGTATATTTCTCATCCAACAAAATCAGAATATTTCTCATCCAACAAAATAGAATATTTCTCATCCAACAAAATCAGATTATTTCTTATCAGACAAAATCAGAATATTTCTCATCCAACAAAATCAGAATATTTCTCATTCATCAAAATCAGAATATTTCTAATTGAAACAAACATGGATGTTTCTTTTTTAAACAAATCACACTATTTCTCTTTTAAACGAACCAGACTATTTCTGATATTTCTTATTCAACCAAATGAAAAAAGAATATTTCTTATTCAACCAAATGAAAAAAGAATATTTCTTATTCAACCAAATCAGAATATTTTTCTTATCTAAACCAAATTAGAAAGTTTATAGAAATCAAGTATGTGTAGGAAAGAGAAAGCTAAACATTTGCTATATATTTGAATCAATCTTTCTAAGGCTTATTCATTTACTTACCCTTTGGTAACGACACAAATCAAAACATAGCTGTTACTTGTTTCATTTAATTTTTTCAAGAGTTTACTTTTTATAACTTCAATCTATGATAAGATTAACAGCAGATACTGCTGATATGTTTACATGTACATGTAATAGGTAAGCATATTCATTATATAGTTATTTATTTACCTTTCTATCAAAAACTTCCTGTTGTTATGAAGGAAAGATACGATTATTTTAATTTATACAACATTACATAATTCGAATAGTACTCGATTTTTGTCAGGATTGTTTGCTAGGTTAACAATGTATGGATTTTTCGAATGTTCCAACTGTAAATCTCGTTGGGAAAGTGCCAAGGTTTTTGAAAGGCCTGGAACAACAACGGTAATTGAATTTTTAGCTTTAGCCTCAATAAATTCTCATTATATATATTTTGAATACAAAATATAACTGTTATTGCTTGAAATACTAAATAATGTATTGCTTATTTGTAACAAAAGGCCATATTGTATCATGGGTTAACAACAAGAAAACGATAGATAAACGGAATTTGGCGTCTAATGTTCCAGTACTTGATGTGGTACATTTAGTATTTTGTGCGGCACATCCAGTATTTGGTGCGGCACGTGTGAAACGATTCAAGTATACATAATTTTCTATGGCAACAAAAAATAACTTTATTGTCCTCACATTTTCCTAATTTTGTTTTCTAGTACTGGGGACAAGAGTGCAAGAAATGTAATATCATGTGTCAGCCATATAGAGTGGAGGAGACAATGTGCTCTCGTTGTGGGGAAGTTGCTAAAACATGCAAGTGTGACAAGACCCGTCATACCGACCCAAATAAACCACATATGTCGGCACTTTGTGAGAAATGTCGCTCGGGCAATCCGTGTAAATAACTCTTTGAATGTAACCATGAAATCACGTGATAAGGGGCGGACAAAAATAATGGTTACCTCAGCCCCGCCCATTTTCAATTTACGCTGCAACTGTTTTTAATATATTGAGACTGCTGATTAAAAAATTGTTTTGTTTTGTTATGATGTATGCACTGGGATATTTTATATAATTCAAGCCGACGTTTTGATGTATTGAGTTATGATTCATATAACAGCACCTGACAGAGAAAGTGTGCTTGGTATGTGTGTATTGAGTGGAAGTTCAACGAATTATGATATTTTATCTTAATTATGTAAAGAGTTTATATGATGAATAAGAATTGTATCATAATAATTGTAAAACCAGTTTTATTTTACAGTGTCATCTATGTTAACTTTTGATATTCTGTCTGATTATGTAAATTGTCGGCTATGATTTAGGGTCATTTTTTGAAACATTTATCAAACTCGTTTCATAGCTTATTGATAACTTCACTAATAATAAACACTATTTGACAATTTTATCATGCTTTACTCGTTCAAAAATATTTTATCTAAAGTATTTACCTTTTGTAATGTATATATACATTTAAAACGAACGCGTACATTGTAAAAAAGTGTTTGATAAAAACAGCACAACTATATCACGTATCAGTTAGTATATTTTTTATTTAACAAAAACTTACTTCGAAATTTTCTGAAAATATCCCATGCAGATGCTCTTCGCGTATAAAGTATTGAAATAGTCAACTTTAATGGTGAAACCTATTGTATCCCTTGTGTTGTAAAATGACGGTGTAGAAATGGATGTAATGAAATTCCTTAGGTAAATTGACCTTCGAAGTCAACGTACATGTACAAGTATGATGTTGATATCAAAAATGTATTTATAATTTATCTTTTTACTTTATTATTTAATAAAAATATAGATAAAAGGGTTTTTCATCTATTCTAGTTAAGAAATATTAACTAAAAGCCATATATGATAAGAATAAATTTGAGCATTTGTATATTTTAAAAAAATCGTCGTTGGCAGGAAATTCGAGATTATATGCTCAGCTCAATATTGTTGTTGTTGCTGGTTTTCTATTCTATTCATTTAATATTTAACATTGTATGTTATATAAATATAATATGCATATCATTTTTTGTATAAAAACTAATGTCTTAAATTGTAAAACATTTTATTAAAAATTATGTACACTAACTAGTGAGTATTCAGTTATGTTTTAAGTATCTGATTAGTCTAAGTCTTCCAACTTGTGTCATGTGACGTATCATGTGACAGGATGTTTCCACTGTGATGTCATCATTTGAGAAAATCCAATATGGCGGCTCTTATACCAAAATTATTTTCACTATATGTTCTATATATAAATATTTAGCCTTGTGGCAATTTTACTACCTCTCCAAGCAAATCAAAGTCATCTGTGCTTATAGTATCATCCAAGATAAATAATTCCAGTTATTGCAAACTAGGGGTCATGTGGCATTTTCCCACAGCAATTCGTAATAGTTATAGTACATGAAACGAGTTAGTTACGAGGATATAACACTGGCTGGGGCGACATCAAGGGGTGTTTCTGCTAAAAAAATGTTAGTATCTGTTATTCAAAAGGGGAGTAAATAACTATTATATTTAAATATGATTTAAAGAAAGTTATCTCCCATTAACAAATAATCATTTATCTATTAAAAAGAATAACTAATAAGAAATCTATAATTTATTGCGACAATAATTATCTTTAACGCTCTATTATTGACAAGTCATTTACAAATATGCGTGTATGTGCGCGCGTGCATGTGTAGGGTGTAAATGAATGCCTTGAATTGATAAGATTTTCTAGTTTTTAAGTAAGAAAATATGTTCAGCTTTGTATATAGAATCGTAAGTCGTTGTAATGACATCTGTTGGATCAAAATAACTAAAATATGGGACTTCTTCCTTTTTGTCGGCTAAGATACTTCAATGTTATTATTTATCAAATTTGAAGAACGTGGCTTAATCAACAGTAAGGATTGCGTGATATTGAAATTAACATACAAGAAAAACGTCTATCAAAATGAATACACGTGCCATTAAAATAGATGTTTATTTTATATACATGTGCATATTATGTGAAATTATGTACATTTTTCTTTTTCCTTTCTTTTTAGACTTGGTAATATTTATTGCATTCCCCCACTCTGAGGGACGCTCCACTTCCGAATATAAAATATATCTTCCCACTAATATTGCTTTAATTATCATAGCCTCACATTTAACATTTCTTCATCTATTTCTGACAAAAATGTTAAAATTGTATAACTAGCGTTAGATCATCAACTATCACGTTATCCTTATAACCAACGTTATCATCACGTTATCTTCATCATCATCACCATCACCATCATCATCATCATCATCATCATCATCATCATCATCATTTCTTTCTTATTTCTGATAAACCACTTTACACACTTTCAATGTGTCATTGTCACAACCAATGTACATTTTATCACCGTTATAATCTATACATATACTTCTTGGTGATGCTATATCATTGAGAACATTAAATCCTGTCTTGAAATCTTCAGAAATTCTGTATACAGTATTGTTGTCACAGCTACAGACAAGAAGTGATCCATCCTCCAGACTGATTATCCCAGAAAGTGATTGGATATTCTTGTCTTTGTAAATACTTGCTACATTTCCATTGGTTGTGAGGCGTACAATGCTACTATTAACAACATAACTTACATATACATATTGAGAGTCTGCACTTACAGCAATACCAACTGGAACAGTCAAGTCAATGGTAGATGTTTTCAGTGGAATTTCTGTCTGCACTGTTCCATTAAGATCTAATACTAACACACTTTCTGGCTCCCAACAAACTCTTTCTGGCTCCCAACATACAGCTTTCCTTGGTTATATGTGACATTAAAACAGTTTCTATCAAGTTGGACAGTACGAACTAGAGATAGGTCATCATAAGTCTTGAAAATTTGAACTGCTTTCATTTTTTGCATCACAACAGCTACTTCATCTTGAGACATTAGACCAACGCCACGTGGGCCTCCCGGTTCCTGTCTTTCTTTTATCAAACGGTCATTGTTGATATCAAACAGTTTAAGTTTGTTGTTATATTCATCTGCAAGTAAAACTTTATCTGGTGGAATAAAAGAGCATCCTGCTATGGAGCATTTATTTACATCTGATAAAGTTTTTATTTTAATGCCCCTTAAATGCTGTAAGGAGCTTACAGAACGAGTCGTCTCCAATGTCCCAAATAATGTGTTCTTAAATAATGCAGTTTCTATCTCTTCGTTCCGTTTGAAAGTGCATGTTGTTTTAAGTTTCCGTAGTACTGTTAAAACTTTAGTGTTCTTTTCATCATCGGCTAGAGATTTAGCTTTCTTTACAGCTATGAATATTTCCCTTTCCTTCCCGAAAGTTTTGTTGTCTCTTAGACTGGCTTGAAGTTGTTTCATTTCTGAGGAAACTTTACTGCATTCTGCATGCGCTGTCTTTAATGTCCTTTTGTTTGATTCATTCATTTGTTTTGCATGTTCAACAGCTTTAGTTTTCATTTCTTTTATACGATTGATGATTAGGTACTCAAAGACGTCAATATCTTTAAGCGCTTGAGTTAAACAATCATCTGCTTCCGTTGTTTTGTCAGAAATTTCTCCGTCTAAATTTTTTGTTGCTTGTAACTTTAACTCCAGCATTTTCAACGTGTCATCGTACTCTTTACTGTCAGCTATTCCTTTACACGTGTCAGGGATATAATCAAGATCACATGTTCTATGCTTGAGAACCATACAATCATGACATCCAAGTTCTTCGTGTCTAGGACAGAAAAACTTGACAATTTCGGTGTCATGAAATGGGCATTTATCATCTAATACAGATGTATTTGTAGCGTCGGATCGTTCGTGTAATTTATGATGTTTTGACGCCTTTGTTTTCCTATGAGAAGAAAAGCACGAGCTGCATAAATATTCCTGGCAATCTTCACAATATCCTCGTGCTTTTACACTTTGACCATCAGTTTTACACGGATCACAAAAATGATTTTTATCACTATCAAACCAACCTGTGGTTGGTGCCACTGCTTTTCTTCCAGAAACCGCCATACTGACGAACTTTACATGTGAGAATAATTCGTGTTATAACTTGATTCTTGTTTCGATTTTATAACCTCGTATCTCCAAATCTATTTGTTGTCCTGCTTTATTGTCCTGCTTTATGAGCATTATATACATTAAAGTTATCCGTTAAAACATATAACTTAAAACACTTTTCATATTCTTCTTCAAATTGTTAGTTAAATAAAGTCTTCACCCGCAATTTTCAGAAAATAAAGTTCAACATATAGTACACACGGGAATTTCGTATTAACTAGAGCATGAACTATCGTAAGACGTGTTATGCATAAAATGTTGAATCAATAAGATTTGATATTGAAATATTAAATACAATGGTGTTTAACTTATACAAATAAAATTTGTAGATTAAATCTTCTAAAGCACATTTATACATATTGTGAAACAAACGAGAAAGATAATAAGATTCAGTATTGATATATTGATTTACAATGGTTGTTAAACTTACACAAAGGACTTGTTCTGCTTTATTTTAAAACAGATATCCAAATACAATGTACATGTATTTACATGAAATTGCTAAATTTGAGAAGTTAAACAGTTAAATACAGTTGCAAATAAGTGGCATGTTCACCTGTGATCCAGTTACTCAATGAAGGGGAGATTACTCCTGAAAAAGATTGTTTAACACAGTTATGTATATTGACAACCTTTATATTTGTTTTAATTAGAAAAAAAATTGTAAAGTGTCAGTACTGGTTTATTCCAGGAAAGGATTCGAAAGTGTGTCTTTAAGCTTATAACTTCCTACACAGTCGAACTAAAATAAATTCTGTATAAACCAAACTTCCTCTGTGTAAAGATTCACCAACTTGGTTTAAACCACTAGTCAGTTTTAGTTGAAGCTGTATTATTTTCATTAAATCTGTTGTGCCAGACAAATATTGACCAACTAACACAAACCTATACATTTGTACTTAAATATATACACATTAGTTTTTATGCGTATTCTGTTTTCAAATACATGTAGCAACCTTCACTCTCAAGCTGGCAGTTTCAAATAAAACAATAAAGTAAATAACATGATTGTTTTTGCTTTGAAAATACAATTAACCATTGCTTACCAAAGTTTAATCAAATCATCATATTATAAACAAGATATCATAATTTATTATATGAGCCGTGCCATGACAAAACTAACATAATGGGTTTGCGACCATCATGGATCCAGACCAGCCTGCGCATCCGCGCAGTCTGGTCAGGATCTATACTGTTCGCTATCAGTTTCTCTACTTGCTATAAGATTTGTAAGCGAACAGCATGGATCCTGATCAGACTGCGCGGATGCGCAGGCTGGTCTGGATTCATGATGGTTGCAAGCCCATTATGTTGGTTTTGTCGTGACGCGGCTCAAATATCAAACAATATACTAATTAGAGATTTATGATATTTCATTCCCTCTTTACTCTCTAGTTATACCAACTTCCGTCCGTTATGTACATGTAAGTATGTATATATATTGTATTTTCGGAAAATGAAAATGTGTTTACCAGGAAGTAAACTGAAAAGCTAGTCAACACGTTTTGTTGATGAAAAATTACCCCACCCCCACCATAGATAAAAATAGATTAAATTGAATTAAAATAAATAAATAAATAAATAACAATAAAAACTGAAAACTGAAAATAAATATTAAACAAAATAAATAAATAAATAAATAAATAAATAAATGAATGAATGAATGAATGAATGAATGAATGAATGAATGAATGAATGAATGAATGAATGAATGATGAATCAAACAGTGAAGAGATAGACAAATTAAAGCGAAAGAAGGATACACTACCGGAATTACGAAACCCCTAAATATAGTATCACCAGTTTTAGAAATTATGACTATGATACGTATTTCCTTTGAAATATCCTCTATGTAAAACATAAACATGTAAGTTTCAATGACTTCAATGTAGTATTTTAGTACACAGGAAAATTGAACGTATCAATATAACAACTTTAGTCATAAAAACTAATTCGTCGAAATAAACAACACCTCCTACACACTGTTTCACTTTCAATTTCTACTTGATTTCGTAATGACACGGACATTTCCGTAGACACTTAATTCACATTCACATCACATCATCATTACCGTACAATCGGAACGTCTCGGTTATTATCAATAATGTAAGGACCAAAAAGATGCGAATAACATTATTGAGAACTCAACTACAGTAAAAGTGTTTAATAAAAACGGAAGATCATAATATTTTTTTTCTGATTTAACCAGCTCAGAATAATTTTCATCCAACCACACCAAAATATTTCTCATTCATCAAAGTGGGCGAAAATGTTGTTATAACTTTTGGCCCAATCCCTTTTCTTATTTGCATTAAGGTATTTATGTGAAATTGTGTATTATTGTGAAATTTTATGTATGTATATAAATTATATACAATGAATTATGTTCATACTAAAATCCATCAAAGACACAATATTTCCAATTCAACCAAATAACAATATTCAAATAAACCAGAATATTTCTCATTCGACCATTTTTATTCATCAGTAAAAATATTTCTTATTCGACCAAATCACAATATATTTCGTTTATTCCTCTTTCACACAAATAGAAAAGTTCTCATATTTCCCATTCAGCCAAATAGAATAGTTCATTCAACTAAATTAGAATATTTTTCTTTCATACAAATCAGAATAATTTCTATGAGCTGATATGTTTACATGTAACAGGTTAGCGTACTATCACTATAAAGTTATTTATTTACCTTTCTATCAAAAAACTTCCTGTTGTTATGAAGGAAAGATACGAGTGTTTTAATTAATACAACGCTACATAATTCGAATAGTACTAGATTTTTGTCAGGATTGTTTGCTAGGTTAACAATGTATGGATTTTTCGAATGTTCCAACTGTAAGTCCCGATGGGAAAGTGCCAAGGTTTTTGAAAGACCTGGAGCAACAACGGTAATTGAATTTTTAGCTTTAGCCTCAATAAATTCTCATTATATATATTTTGAATACAAAATATATCTGTTATTGCTGGAAATACTAAATAATGTATTGCTTATTTGTAACAAAAGGCTATGTCATATTGTATCAAAGGTTAACAACAAGAAAACGATAGATAAACGGAATTTGGCGTCTATTGTTCCAGTACTTGGTGCGGCACATCCAGTATTTGGTGCGGTACATCCAATATTTGGTGCGGCACATCTAGTATTTGGTGCGGCACATCCAGTATTTGGTGCGGTACGTCCAGTACTTGGTGCGGCACATCCAGTATTTGGTGTGGCACATCTAGTATTTGGTGCGGCACATCCAATATTTGGTGCGGCACATCCAGTATTTGGTGCGGTACATCCAGTATTTGGTGCGGCACATCCAGTATTTGGTGCGGCACATCCAGTATTTGGTGCGGTACATCCAGTATTTGGTGTGGCACATCCAGTATTTGGTGCGGTACATCCAGTGCGGCATTTTGGTGGTGCGGCACATCCAGTATTTGGTGCGGCACAACCAGTATTTGGTGCGACATATCCAGTATTTGGTGCAGTACATCTAGTATTTGGTGCGGTACATCCAGTATTTGGTGGTCTAGTATTTTGGTGCGGCACGTCAGTATTTGGTGCGGCACGTCCAGTATTTGGTGCGGTACATCCAGTATTTGGTGCGGCACATATTTGGTGCGGTACATCCAGTATTTTGTGCGGCACATCCAATATTTGGTGCGGTACACATCCAGTATTTGGTGCGGTACATCCAATATTTGGTGCGGCACATCCAGTATTGGTGCGGCACATCCGGTATTTGGTGCGGCACATCCAGTATTTGGTGCGGTCACATCCAGTATTTGGTACGGCACATTGCATATTTTGGTGCTGCACATCAAGTATTTGGTGCGGCACATCCGGTATTTGGTGCGGCACATCCAGTATTTGGTGCGGCACATCCAGTTTTTGGTGCGGCACATTCAGTATTTGGTACGGTACGTCCAGTATTTGGTGCAGCACGTCCAGTATTTGGTGTGGCACATCCAGTATTTGGTGCGGAAATCCAGTATTTGGTGCGGTTCATCCAGTATTTGGTGCGGTACATCCAGTATTTGGGGTGCGGCACGTCCCCTATTTGGTGCGGCACGTCCGGTATTTGGTGCGGTACGTCCAGTATTTGGTGCGGTACATCCAGTATTTGGTGCGACACAGCCAGTATTTGGCGCGGTACGTCCAATATTTGGCGCGGTACGTCCAGTATTTGGTGCGGTACATCCAGTATTTGGTGGCGACACATCCAGTATTTGGCGCGGTACGTCCAATATTTGGCGCGGTACGTCCAGTTTTTGGTGCGGCAACATCCAGTATTTGGTGCGGTACGTCCAGTATTTGGTGCGGTACGTCCAGTATTTGGTGCGGTACATCCAGTATTTGGTACGGTACATCTAGTATTTGGTGCGGTACGTCCAGTATTTGGTACGGCACATGTGATATGATTCAAGAATACACAATTTTTTATGGCAACAAAAATATATTTATTGACCTCAAATGTTCCTAATTTTGTTTTCTAGTACTGGGGACAAGAGTGCAAGAAATGTAAGGTCATGTGCCAGCCATATAGAGTGGAGGAGACAATGTGCTCTCGTTGTGGGGAAGTTGCTAAAACATGCAAGTGTGACAAGACCCGTCATACCGACCCAAAGAAACCTCATATGTCGCCACTTTGTGAGAAATGTCGCTCGGGCAATCCATGTCAATAACTCTTCTTTGAATGTAACAATGAAATCACATGATAAAGGCGGGCTAAATATAGTGTTATAAAAATAACAGTTACCTAAGCCTCGCACGCTAAAACTATTCTGTCTGATTATGTTAATTGTCGGCTATGATCTAGTGTCATATTTTGAAACATATATCAAACTCGTTTCATAGCTTATTGATTACTTCACTAATAATAAACAATATTTGACAATTTTATCAGTTCGACATATTTTATCTATTTACCTTTTGTACTGTATATTTACATGTAAAACGAACGCATACACTGTCAAAAGAAGTACAATGTATTTGATATTTATATAAACATCATAACTATATCACGTATCAGTTAGGTTTCTAAAAACATATAGGATAAAATGTTAAATGACGGTGTAGAAAATTGATGTACTTTTATACTTAATTTAATTATATAATTTCAATGGCGGTCCAATCTTGCTATAAAAATGGGATGCACCGATTTATTGTTAGTCTTGAAAAGTAATTAAATGATAATGAAAGTGAAATGGTTTATCTAATAAGAAATGGGCATTGTAAGATCAGAATAAAATAGTATTAAAAAGTATTAGACTGTGTTTTTCCAATGTCACGAATAAATAAGATTTTAATGAAAGAAATAAAAGGATATTTAGGATAAAATAGGCTGCTGCATAGTGCTCAGTAATGATTTGAAAGATAAAAACTAACACGTGAGCGTTGTATTACTATTGCCAAAATATTACATCAAAGGTGGCCATCGAGCAGTATTCAATATAGAGATCTATAATAAAATGAAAATCCTAAGCGTAAACTAACGTAAATCTTCCCGAAAACTAATGAGTCTCAGGCCAATATTGCCAAACAATAACTAGAAAATATAATTCGTGTTTTGTTGTTGTTGTTTGTTTGTTTTCTCAAAGAAGGTAAAGATGAACTATTTTTTCCTCTATTTTTTTTCGAATTTTCAGGGGTGATGTCATAATTTCAATGTTCAATTGAAAGGTTTCATTTGATATAACAAGTAATTTCAAAGGTCTATCCACAAAATTAAGGTTCGGCTCCATAGCACAAAACCCACATCCTATGTATGAATCAAAATCGAAATGATTTCTTGACCAGTCGGGCGCTCACAAATATTACTCATTGTACACCATTTTGTTGTTGTTTTTGCTTTTTTTTTTTAATATTGCACAATTTATTTACCCCGAAAGTTTGTGACTCAAGTTATCATGCTTATTCATTTTAACTGAGCATATTATAAAAAAGTATGTCTAAACATAAAATTAAATTTTGCATATGCAGCAAAACCGATACTTAAGATCGATAAATTACAATTTACGGCAGACAAGTTTTATAACTATTATAAGTTTACGTATTCTTTGTATAAATGCTAACAATGAACAGATCATGGGTTCACTACCCTTTGCAAGACTGCTTTTGTTTATATATGGGATAGGCAGAAATAAGCACTATATTTTTCATCTATAAAGTTTAAACGTTTAGTTTTATGAGCGTTGATGTTGTAGATATAACTTCAACCAAGAATGTTTTCTTGTCTTCTTTGAAAAAACCCAAATAGCTAGAGTTTAGATATTAAGCATGAAACATCTTCTAGTAAGTGTCTACAAAGTTTGTTCAAATAAAAGCCCTGGCCCGGCCCCAGGGGTGTCATTGTTTTAACTATATGTGTATAGTAAAAACTTTAAAAAAAATCTTCTTTTAAAAAGCCCAATGAGCTAGAGCTTAGATGTTTAGCATGAAACATCTTCTTATGGGTGTCTACCAAGTTTGTGCAAATAAAAGCCCTTGGGTTAAATTGGCCCTGCAACGTTGGGGGGCAGGGGGGGGGGGGGGGGGCTATATACAGGTGAGCGACCTCAGGGTCATCATGGCCCTCTTGTTTAAATATCCTTTGCAAATCTTTATATGGTAAATATCCCAGATGATCTGAGTAAGAAAATCAAGTTCTATTTTTTAGACTTTTGACCTCAGTGAAGTTCCTTTAACTACATGCACTAGGCTTGCAAGGATGAAATTTACATATTTTCACATTATCCCTTTGTCTTTTGAACAATGCTTACGAGAGATCGCCCCTTTTCTTGATTGTTTAGTTTGTTCCATCTGATCATCTAAAGATACAATCTCCATGCAGTGATCTCCCCTTAATTCTTAATCTGCCAAGGGAGGTAATCACTTTGAGGAGTTTGCTAAAGGTAGTGTTCTGATTATAGATGCACAGCTTTACTAATACATAGGCAACGCTACAGCATCATAAATTCTTTAACCATATCCTTTAAAACAACCTCATTCTGCATAAATAGAAATATAACTTTTTATACAATGTTAGAATTCCCTGAGGCACAAATCTGTGTTTTATGGTAAAAAACCCGGAAAAAACCGGACCAACAACAACAAAACCTAATACTATCACGTGTGATTGGGAAATGTCCAATAACGTAATAACGTACATGTATGTTGTTGATATAAAAAATGTATTATCTTTTTACTTTATTATTTAATAAAAATATAGATAAAAAGGGTTTTTCATCTATTCCAGTTAAGAAATATTAAATAAAACCCATATATGATAAGAATGAATTTGAGCATTTATATATTTAAAAAGCTGCAGCTCTGAATGCGACGGACATGCAACCGGAGAGACATTAAGGCTTTTTTTTAGAAAAAAAAATAAAACACAAAATATATAACAGAGAAAATTTGTTCCATACAAGTTCGAGATTTGTAGAGCAATATATTTTATGTGTCCCATTCTGATATAATTCAGATTTTCTACTTTCAAGCAGAACAAGTCCAAATTTTTAAATACAGAATAAAACTTATGCCTAAAAACTCTGGTCAAACTTGTAAATCAGTGCCCTTATCGATTTATTCCAAGAAATGATATGTAAATAGAAAAAAAACTGTCAACAAAATATTTCTACAATAAAACCATGCAAATAAACTTCAATCATAATGCATAATGCATGTGAGAATGTTAATTAGAATTGCATCGTGTTATATCATAGTGGGCATGTAAGCAATAAAATATAAGTCATTTGTATTTTTATTTCTTGGATATGTCTCATTAAAAATATTTTTGGCAAATAATTGTTTATTTTTTAAAGATTTTCTTTTTGCATTTACGTCACTTAAGCACAACTGTTTTTAGTTGTCCCTTTCAATTTTACACTTAATTCCATTTTCAACTTGTTTGCTTCTTACAATTGTATAGAATTTCTTAAAGTATTGCATGTAAACAAAGTAAGTATATCCGCTGGTTTATTACATGTATAATGTGTACTCGTCCGAAAATCAGCACAAATGATGCAGAATCTATTTTTAGAATAGTGTTATCTTCTGGTCGCAGGCTATTATAATCTCATAGCAGGTTAACTCATATCGTGACCTAGAAAATTATGTAAACAAAACACAAGAATCGGAAGTAGAACTGATATTATAACTTCCTTCAATAAAGATTACCATGAAAGACTACATGGTGGTAAAGTGTTGAAAACTTTCTTGTTACATGCATTTTCAAAAATAGATATTTATAATACTAACCATTGTACTGTAGTCTAATTTATTAATAACTGCTGAATATTCAGCTAAGTCACGAAAAGAGTTCTTCTTTTATTAATGCGCGAGTTATTCTAAAGTCACGAAAAACTTTTGATCTTTTAATAAAAATGTTTTGTTTAATGTGGAAATATTTATTTCCTGCTCATAATTTCTAGGAATTATTGAGCTTACTCCTTAATTATAGCATAATTTGCTGTCCTACTTTTTCGACAGCGATAAATCGTTTCAGCAGTTATTTGCATAATTGCGCAATAATACTACGGGGCTACAGCGTTTTTATCAATCAAATACGTTTATATTTTAACTTGGATAACTTAATTTGAAATTGAAAACGCTAAATATGGAAGTTTTTAAGATATCCCGACGAAGTATTGGAGTTTCATAGGATCAAATTCATGTACTATTTCGTGGGCTGTTATTCGGTTGAGGACACATTGCGCGATTGTAGCCAACAAAATCCCATGTGTAGATGACATAGCTCTGAACGCGCCTGAGGGCGCGTCCGTCGCAAAATTCGTCGTTGGCAGGAAATTCGAGATTATATATGCTCAGCTCAATATTGTTGTTGTTGTTGTTTTTCTATTCTATTCATTTAACATTGTATGTGATATAAATATAATATGCATATCATTTTTTGTATAAATACTAATGTCTTAAATTGTAAAACATTTGATTAAAAATTATGTACACTAGTGAGTATTTAGTTATATTTTATGTATTTGATTAGTCTAAGTTTTCCAACTTGTGTCATGTGACGTATCATGTGACAGGGTGTTTCCACTGTGATGTCATCATTTGAGAAAATCCAATATGGCGGCTCTTATACCAAAATTATTTTCACTATATGTTCTATATATAAACATTTAGCCTTGTGGCAATTTTACTAACTCTCCAAGCAAATCAAAGTCATCTGTGCTTATAGTATCATCCAAGATAAATAATTCCAGTTATTGTAAACTAGGGGTCATGTGGCATTTTCCCACAGCAATTCGTAATAGTAATAGTACATGAACGATTTTAGTTCGAGGTAAAACCCTGGCTAGGGCAAAACAAGGGGTTTTTTTTGCAAAAAAAAATGTTGTATTGTTTTTTAAAAGGGGGGCCCGAAAAAAACTATTATTTTAAATAGATTTTAAAGAAATTTATCTCCCTTTAAAAACAAAAAAATCTTTTAAAATCAAAATTAAAAGAGAAAACTTAAAAAATCTAAAATTTATTGCGAAATAATTTCTTTAAAACGCTATATTTTTTGAAAAAGTCATTTCAAATTGCTGTATGTGCGCGCGGGGAGGTGTGGGGTTTAAAATGAAGGGCCTTAAATTTTGTTTAAGAGGGTTTTCTTTTTTTAATTTAAAAAACATATTTTTCAGTTTTGTATATAGAATGTAAGGGAAATCTGTTGGTTTAAAAATTTGATTTTAAAATATGGGACTTCTTCCTTTTTGTCGGCTAAGAAACTTCAATGTTAATATTATTCATCAAATTTGAAGAACGTGACTTAATCAACAGTAAAGATTGCGTGATATAGAAATTAACATACAAGAAAAACGTCTAGCAAAATGAATACACGTGCTATATATACATGTACATACTATGTGAAATTATGTACATTTTTCTTTTCCCTTTCTTTTTAGACTTGGTAATATTTATTGCATTCCCCCACTCTCCGAAAATAAGATATCTCTTCCCACTAATATTGCTTTAACTATCATAGCCTCATATTTAATATTTCTTCATCTATTCTGACAAAAATGTTAAAATTGTATAACTAGCGTTAGATCATCAACTATCACGTTATCATTATAATCAACGTTATCATCACGTTATCATCATCATCATCATCATCATCATCATCATCACCCATTTCTTTCTTTTTTCTGAAAAACCCAAACTTTAAAACACTTTTCCCACTTTTATTAAAAAACCCAATGTACTTTTTTTCAGCTATTTTATCTATACTTTATACTTTTGAGGGGAACTATACCCATTGGGGAATTTAAAAAATTCCTGTCAAAAATTTAAAAAAATTCTGTTACGTTTTCTTGCAAGCAACAGACAAAAAGTTGATCCATCCCCCAACTGTTTACCCCAAAAAGGTGATTGGTTTATTCTCGTTTTTCGTAAATACTTGTTACTTTCCCATTGGTTGTGAGGCTTTAAATTTACTATTAACAAAAAAATTTGTCATTTAAACATATACATTTTTTAGAGTCTGCCTTACGCAATCCAGCTAAAAAGTCATCGGGAATTAAAAAGCTGTTTCTAGGGGAAAATTTTCTGTCTCCCATGTTCCATTAAGATCTAATACTAACACACTGTGTGGATACCGACAAATAACATACAGCTTTCCTTGGTTATATGTGACATTATAACACTTTCTATCAAGTTGAACAGTACGAACTAGGGATAGGTCATCATAAGTCTTGAAAATTTGAACTGCTTTCATTCTTTTCATCGCAACAGCTACTTCATCTTGAGATATAAGACCAACGCCCAGTGGGCCTCCCGGTTCCTGTCTTTCTTTTATCAAACGGTCATTGTTGATATCATACAGTTTAAGTTTGTTGTTTTCTTCATCTGCAAGTAAAACTTTATCTGGTGGAATAAATGAGCACCCTGCTATGAAGCATTTATTCACATCTGATGAAGTTTTTATTTTAATGTCCCTTAAATGCTGTAAGGAGCTTACAGAACGAGTCGTCTCCAATGTCCCAAATAAAGTGTTCTTAAATAATGCAGTTTCTATCTCTTCGTTCCGTTTGAAGGTGCATGTTGTTTTAAGTTTCCGTAGTACTGTTAAAACTTCAGTGTTCTTTTCATCATCGGCTAGAGATTTAGCTTTCTTTACAGCTATGAATATTTCCCTTTCCTTCCCGGATGTTTTGTTGTCTCTTAGACTGGCTTGAAGTTGTTTCATTTCTGAGGAAACTTTACTGCATTCTTCATGCGCTGTCTTTAATGTCCTTTTGTTTGATTCATTCATTTGTTTTGCATTTTCAACAGCTTTAGTTTTCATTTCTTTTATACGATTGATGATTAGGTACTCAAAGTCGTCAATATCTTTAAGCGCTTGAGTTAAACAATCATCTGCTTCCGTAGTTTTGTCAGAAATTTCTCTGTCTAAATTTTTTGTTGCTTGTAACTTTAACTCCAGCATTTTCAACGTGTCATCGTACTCTTTACTGTCAGCTATTCCTTTACACGTGTCAGGGATATAATCAAGATCACATGTTCTATGCTTGAGAACCATACAATCATGACATCCAAGTTCTTCGTGTCTAGGACAGAAAAACTTGACAATTTCGGTGTCATGAAATGGGCATTTATCATCTAATATAGATGTATTTGTAGCGTCGGATCGTTCGTGTAATTTATGATGTTTTGACGCCTTTGTTTTCCTATGAGAAGAAAAGCACGAGCTGCATAAATATTCCTGGCAATCTTCACAATATCCTCGTGCTTTTACACTTTGACCATCAGTTTTACACGGATCACAAAAATGATTTTTATCACTATCAAACCAATCTGTGATTGGTGCCACTGCTTTTCTTCCAGAAACCGCCATACTGACGAACTTTACATGTGAGAATAATTCGTGTTATAACTTGATTCTTGTTTCGATTTTATAACCTTGTATCTCCAAATCTATATGTTGTCCTGCTTTATTGTCCTGCTTTATGAGCATAATATACATTAAAGTTATCCGTTAAAACATATAACTTAAAACACTTCTTATATTCTTCTTCAAATTGTTAGTTAAATAAAGTGTTCACTCGCAATTTTCAGAAAATAAAGTTCAACAAATTAACTCCCTCTTGTGATAAAGTACACACGGGAATTTCGTATTAACTAGAGCATGAACTATCGTAAGACGTGTTATAGATAAAATGTTGAAGGTATTTGCTTTAATCAGCACGTTTATATTTATAAGATTTGATATTGAAAAAT